TTGCCGTTCCTTGGTGCGAAAAAAATCGACAAAAAACAGGTTCAGATCAAAGTGGTGGTGGAGACGTTCGGCGAGGCGCACAGAGAATCCTTGCACAAGGCGCTGGAGGCGAAGGTGAGACAAAGCAAAAAACGCAGTCGTTGTCGAAAACACACACTTCAACGACTCGGACGAGGGATGGTTTGGGTCGTAATGCGTGTGAGTCGGTGCGCTTGGATTTTTTTCGTTTGTTTATTTTGCCCTCACGCCAACAGCCTACCTGGTGTTTGTTGTGAAACACCTCCCTGTGTTTTCAAAGGCGTGTCGTGTTGAGAAACGTGGCAGACACCCAAAGCTTCGCAACGCCGGACGGGACTACTTTATCTGCTTGGATGATGCTTTGTTGGCTTTTTGGTCATGCGCAGAAGAGTATGACATGACCGTACTAGTATTAGTAGAGCGTGTCTGAATAGCCCACCCGTTCTAAGCAAACGTGGGTCTCTCTTCTGGGCGGCTCTGCGCTTATTTAGCAGTCCGCTTCACGAGCCCCACCGGGTGGTTGTAGAGATCTGAGCCGGGCTGTCTTGTCGCCCTCTTGTTGCCCTCCCTCCTCCCTGCAATCACGTCTGGTGGGGACTTACCATTGCCACCCACCATTACCATCAGGGCTACGACATGAACTGGGGCAACGACACTGAGGGAGGCGCTTCGGCGAAGGAGACTTGGTGATGACAGGACAGGACACGACACGACACCACGACACGACCCACCGAGCGACATGGCCACATCAACACCGACCAACAGCGCTGTGTACCTTTACGAAACGCCGAATATATGTAGCAGTTTGACTCTCGCTCTCGGATAACGGCACGAAGCTTTGCTCCAAGTTATGTGTCCATGTGTCTTGTGTATGGCTTGATGGAGATCAAGAACGTCACCATCCGCTCGAGTCACCCACAGCAAGCAGCTCGTTGGGCGGTGGAGGCGTTGGATCGAGACATACTATACAGTACATGCGCGCGACTTTTTTTTTTTTCGCCGGCGGTGCGAAGTCAAGAAGCAAGCCCCCCTCGTCTCGGACTTTTGCTCCGTGGTTATCGGGGGCCGATGATGCCTGTCGTGGAGGATTCGAGGTAGACACGGACACGATCATAGAACACTCCACGGTTTGACCTCCACACAGCCTAACACATCTACAACATCTTTGGTTGTCCACATAAACAACATCTTTGGTTGTTTTTCTGTTCTCGTGGGTGTGGGTGGAAACGTGCCGCGGTAAGCGTTGCACGAGCAATGCGGCCTTCTCCTCGCCCTCGGTTGCGGACTCGATGTCGGACCAACGTTGGGAGGGCATGAGGGTTGGGGGGGGGGGGGGGGTG